CAATCTCCTTTTCGCATGAAACTGGCCAGGAAGAAGGGTTTCACACCTGGGAATAGATCATGTCTCTGGCCAGGCTGACTTAGACCTGGAGAGGTGTGTGTCCAGGCCCTGAGAAGGATACGCATGAATTAACATTCTTTCTTGGGGGGAGGGGGATTTTTTTTCTTCCCCCCAAGACAGATAAGGGCAAGTGTGGGCATCAGGAAAAGAATCCAGGCCCAAAAAGACACATGCGAGGAGTTGATGCTAGCTCAGCTGTTAGTCAAGCCTTCTGGGCATGTCAGGCATTCCTCTGCTACCCGCACCCCGCTGCCTGGGTTTTACTCACACAGCTGTTTAGGCATCATTCAACTCAGCGATAATTCGAACCTCCCCTCCCCCCATGCTATATTCTTCCTGGAGGTAATCCTGGGAGACGCAAACTCTTCTTTTATTATGTCCTAGCATAAATCCTTTGCCTCCAAAGGAACTGCCACCAAATACAGAAGCAGCAGAGTTACCCTGCTGCTATTTTGATTCTGGTAAATGAGATGGCAGGTCTGCCTGCTACAGCCATTTTCTGCTTACCTCTTGTTACGTTCCCCAGGGAGCACAGAAGGAAGTTTCCAACAAATGGTGTTAGAGACAGAGGTCGCAGTTAGTATCCTTCACCATCAGCCCCGCAACCGTCTCTGAGCCCACAGGCAAGCAGGGAACCCCAGCTACTGCAGGAATCGGTGCTGCCTGACTCTGACTCAGTAGAGAACCAGTTTCCCCACTAGGAGGTGCTGTGGGGCGACTGTGTCGGATGCTGTTCTCTGAGGCTGTGTCTAGACTACACCTTTCTGTCGACAGAGGGGTGTCGTCTAGACACAGCCTGGGTCAGTACAGCGGTAGGGGGTGCTGTGCTGCAGGGAGGAGCGGGGTTGGAGGACTCCGTAGGGACGGTGCTGCTCAGCCAGCATGGACTCCAATGACCCAGTGTGGCGCAGTGCTGCAGTGAGTGCGGCAGGAGACTCAGTAGGGGGCGCTCTCTCCCGTGTTGTAGGAGACACAGACATTAAAACCCCAAGGGCCTCCTGTGGACACTTACAGCTCCACAACCCTGCTCTGTTCCATCCCACGGCAATCTGCCTCCGCTTCTGCTGGAGCCGTCATTCTCCACGTGCTCCCTCACCCCTTTGTGCTGTGTTACTGGTGTGAGGTGGCAGCCAGGCCCCACCCAAGAGGTGGCTGCATTTCAGTGCCAAGTCAGCCAATCTGTGCTGGCCAGGCGGGTAGCTGCTGGGGTCACCTGGGGAGCCGAGGCTGGCGGTAGGAACGCCTGCAGGGAGCACGGGGCTGAGGTGTCTCACGGCTCTAATGCAAAGGAGGGCGTGTGTGATGTCTGCTTTGTCTAGAGCCTCCGAAGATCCGCGTGCCGCGCCACCTGCGGCAGACGTACATCCGGCCCGCGGGAGAGGTGGTGAACCTGTTGATCCCCTTCCAGGTAGGTGGCGGATGTTTCCAGCAAGTGACTTGTGGGCTTGGCCTTTGCAAACCGCTCCCGTGTGCGGAGGTGTTGGGGGCGCCTTCCTTGCAGCTGGGGGCCAACGGGAGACCCCAAGAACAGACAGCAGCGAACGGGAGGGGAGGGGGCAGGAAGCTTGAACTTGGTGTGGGGAAGCGGGGGAGGTGAGGGAGGTCTCCAAGGGTTGGGTGCTAGTTGGGACTCTGGAGCCACTGGCTCTGCCACAGAGTTCCTGCACAACCTTGGGCATGTCCCACGTCCCTCTGTGCCCTCGCTCCCCGGCCGGCCCATAGGGTCAGTGCTCCGCCTTCCAGGCGCGAGGACAAGTGTGGCAAAGGTTGGCAGGCGCTCAGATGCATACGCAAGAGGTGCCAGCAGCTGCACTTTGGGCACACCTGGCCAGCAGTGACCTGGGGGGCGGGGAGTTTGGGGGGCCTGGGACAGAGCGGAACCCACACTGCCCGGAGATGGACGACTGGGCTGGGATGTGGGAGTGGCTGGAGGGAGACGGCAGGAGCGAGGAAGGAGCTCTGCCAGTCCTAGGGCACGGGGAGAGGCCCATGTCTCACCTGAGTCAAAGCCATTCACCCCACCCCAGATCCTCTGCTGCAGCCCCGGGGGGATTTCACCCCCTTTCCCCACCACATGGGGGGCGCTGCCCCACTGCCTGAGTGGGAGGGGCTAGAGCCAGGCCATCAGGCTCTTCACACCCGCTGGAGTAGGAAGGACGCTGCATCCCCAGGACTGTTCCCCATGCTTCCCCCCCCACAGCAGGGAGAGGGGCTGTGGGGACCCCCTTGACCACCCTGCAGGAGGAGTGCGACGGGGGGCTCTGGTCTGCGCTTCCCTGGCCCCCATGGTGGCAGCAGGGAGCCCCCGGGA